GGTCGATCTACGTCCCTCCCCTCCCCTATGGTCCTCTTCACCAAACTGGTCACCCTTGGCCTTTGACTTTCTCACCAACCGGCCCCAGACTGTAAGACTTGGCCCCTATCTCTCCTCCACTAGCATGCTGAGCACTGGCTCCCCACAAGGCTGTGTGCTGAGCCCACTCCTGTATTGTCTCTAAATCTAAGACTGCAGTTCAACCCACAACAACATCATCATCAAGTTTGCTGAAGACACCACATTAATCAGACTTATCTCAAAGGGAGACGAGGCAGCCTACAGAGAGGAAGTCCTGAAGTTGACATCATAGTGTTCAGAGAAAAAACAAGCACTGACTATTATGGAAACCAAAGAGATCATTGTCGACTTCAGGTGGCACAGCACTGACTTAGGCCCCCGATACATCAACAGTGATGGTTGGAGAGGGTCCACACCTTCCAGTTTCCCAGGAAGCACAAACTGGACTCCAACCTGCTGCTGATCTTCTACTGCTCGTCCATTGACAGCCTGCTGACATACTGCCTATAAGTAAGGTACGGCAGCTGACCAGATGCGAACAGAGTGAAGCTTCACAGTGTAATCAAGGCAGCACAGAAGATTATTGGCTGCCCTCTCCCCTCCTTGGCGGACATTTATTTCACCCACTGCCTCAACAGAGCAACAAACATCATCAAGAGCAGCTCCCACCCAGGTTTTGACCTGCTTCCCTCAAAAAGAGCTACAGGTGCATCAGCACAAACACTGACAGACTTAGGAACAGTTCCTTTGCAAAGGCCATGAGCACCCTGAACTCACACATGAACCGACGACACAGTTTCACCCCCCAATTCAAGCCTCTCCTCTATACACAGAATATACAAACACTACCACCACTGTGCAATATTTAATTTATGTCAAATACCCCACTGTAAATATAGACTATTTTTTTTTTTTCAGTAATTGTATATTTGATATTTTTTGATATTGACCTGCTCATATGTATACAGTGCCACAGAACTGTGCACCTCACCTCTCTTTCTTCTTTTCCCACATGTCTGCACTGGGTAGGAGATGCCCTCAATCTCTTTGTACATGTCTATAGTGACAATAAAAGACATTCTAGTCAATCAGTTTAGAGGGTCAAGAACAGCAGGGAGAGAACACGCCTATTGGGGAGGCCTTTGCTGGTAGTTTGTGTGGGATGTGGTGCTTCTTGGCCTCACCTGCTGCTGAGAAATGAGCTACCAGATTTTTTTTTTTTTTGCAATTGTACACATTTATTTCTTACTATTTAACAGATTTCTCATTTCTTTTTACTTAATACAGTAAAAAGAAACATTTTGTCATGTAGAAAAACTGATTTGCACTGTAAATGTTCAGCTTCAACTTTCAATCCTTCAAACAATGGAAAAGCCATTTAATTGTACAAGTGTTAAGTAAAAACGGATTTCATGTTTGATTAAGCAGAAATTCTAAAACTGGTCCAGTTGCTAAAACCTCTGACTGGTTCAATAAGTGTTAAAGAAAAAGAGGATAAAACTGAGAAAACTACTAAAACTGCTTCACATCCATGTGGTTGTGGATCAGATTTATAAGACAGCATAATATCAAAATAGATTGACACTCTGATAGTGCTGCCACATCTAAAGCAGTTTTTCTTTTAATCCTTTTCACATGTGCAGTCTCCACGGTGCCTGTTATTTCCTTGAACAGTAATAATCTATCTACGTAGCACTCTTTCTTATTCTCATGTATATATCTCATGTATATCTCATGCACATATCTTTCTACGTAGCACTTTTAATTCTTATTCCTACTTTTATTTTTTCATGTCTATTTAAGTGCTATTTATGACACTATGTTTGCACTGAAGCACCGCAGCAATTTCCTAATGTTGTAAACCTGCTCAACATTTGGCAATAAACCCCTTTCTGATTCTGATTCTGATTCTAGAAGAAAGACTGAAATTTACAGCCTTTCTACATATCAGTGTTTTTTTGGTAATTAGGCAGGTGACCATCAAAAATACATTTAGTGCAAAGACATCTACAAAATGTAAATCATCTGGGAAATGCAGATAAATAATAAAACTTCATATCCGCTCACATCAATAGACATGTTTTCAGACAACTCCAAATAAAACACAAATTTCAGTAAAAATTAAACATTTTTTTGGACTTATTTTAAAATGGATGTCAAACAATGGGTGTGACACTTAGCTGTGTGTGAAACTATTTTCTGATCGAATAAAACAAAAATTAGTTCTTTTTAAAATAACAACACTATAAATTTTTTTTCGAATTTTGGTCAGTTTGAAACCGTAAATCAGAGGATTCATAATAGGAGGAATGACAAGAAACTCTAATGCTACAAAGTTTTGAAGGGTCCGAGGCAACTCTTTCGAACCCAGTCGCATACTTATAACATCAGTAAGTATTGCCACAACAAAAGTAAATAATGAGACGAGATGTGGGACACATGTTTGCATGAACTTTGCCCTGTTTTCTATAGACTTTACACATGTTTGAATGATATACATATAGGACCAAACTATAAAAACACCATGAAGCAAATAAATAATTATTGTAATATTTGCAAATATGCCATTAACTATAGTTTGTGCTGGAAAACAAGCGAGTTGAACAATAATCCAGTTCACACAGAAGAGTGTGGAAAGATACGGGCTGCATAACTTCAGTCTGGATGTTAGAAAGGCATTTGTAGCCGCAATGCAGATGGTTGTTAACCACAAAAAACATGCAAACCTAATGACTCTTTGCTTTGACATGATAGAGTGGTACTTCAGTGGCTGACATATGGCCACATATCTGTCATATGCCATGAGTGCAAGAATCGACAGTTCACCACAGACAAAAGAATAAATCACCTTAGTCTGAATAAGGCAACCATAATATGAGATGAGATGAACATCAGAGAGGAGATCCCAGAGAAATTTGGGGTAGAAACCTGCTGTTCCATAAAGTGCATTGATGCAAAAGACACAGAGCAGAATATACATTGATTCATGGAGGTTGCTGTCCAAGATGATGATCACAATGAGAGAAACATTTAGCAGGCAAATGATGCAGTAACACAACAAACTGAGGAAAAAGAGAACAAACCTGTGACTGACTGTTTCATTGAAACCTGAAAGAAAAAACATTGTTATTACAGAAACATTATTCATTGTGATTGAGAGATGTAAGTGAAGCCTAGTCTCTCACTGTATCTGGTCTCTGTTCTCCTCTCTCCTCTATCAGGTACAGATAACAGCAACACGTGAGCTGGGATTTCAAACCAGCCAATCATTGATCTGGAATGAAAGCTCACAGCTTTGGAAAATCACAGGGGATTTAATATGTATCATGTACTAAACACATAATAAAACAAACCTGCAGGTTCTTGAAAAAGAAATATTAAAACGTTTTACAACTTTATTTAAAAAATGCTTTCTTCATAATACTGTTAGGAATTTCTTACATTTATGCCAATTAAACATATTTGTCCAGGGCTTGTTGTGGTTTTCTTCTGTTTTTCGTTTGTAGTCTTTCGTAGTCCAGTCAGATCGTTGTTGCTTCAGTGATAATGATCAGGCTCTCTGACGTTTGCTGAAGTCACTAGAAAGACAGTAAGAAGTTCTTGTGAATGTTGCTTTGTCTTTGCCTCTTAGTAACTTTGTGGAAAAAAGACTTGTTTGCAGCTGTTACCTGCTACTTACCTGTTACTCTGCCGCCTGCTCACTCTCTACCTTTCCTATTCCACAATGGAAAGATTCCATCCCAGGTACCTCTCCAATTTTCTGCAGAGTGATGTAACCTTATCGTTGCACCACGATCACCCCCTTTTCCTCCAGCCCAGAAAAGAGTAAATCAAAGTTTTTTTGCGTAAAACCATGGTCTCAGAGATCAGGTTGCAAATTCTGAGTTGCTGCAGGAACCATAACCTCTGCTGGGCCTTCTTCTGGATAGAGTCTATATGTGGGGACCACTTCAAGTGGAAGTGATCCACGGTAAGTATTCTATTTTTGAGGATAGTTAGGGTGAGACCAGTGATTACCAGTTTGCAAATCATGCGAACAGATCCATAGAAGATGCCATCAACGTAGCTCTCCACTCTGTGCTGAGCCACCTGGAGCAGCGGCAAAGCTACGTCAGAAAGCTCTTTGTGGGTGTTCTCAGAATCTCATCTCTACTTTGTGGTTCTGTTGGCTTCATCGGGTGATGGCCTTCTGCTCGCTTTGGAACGGTTCACAGCTGAGTGTGAAGCAGTGGGAATGAGAATCAGCACCTCCAAATCTGAGGCCATGGTCCTCAGCCGGAAAAGGGTGGAGGGCCCACTTCAGGTCAGGGACGAGTTCCTGCCCCAAGTTTCATGGCCCGGGGGATCGGCGAGATGCTGATCGGCCTTTTCTGTCTTTTTCTCTCTCTCGTGCTCTCTCTCTCTCCTCCTCTCTGTCGCCGGGGCGGAACTCATTGTGGGTTCACGCCCTCGGCCCACCACGGAAAAGAACACACCTGATGCCCATCAAGGTGAACGGCATTTAAGCCAGGAGGTGACTGCTGGTCTTCGCTGGATCGTTGTCTACCACGCGTCAGTGAGAGTCAAGCTACAGCTCAAGATAAGTCAAGTGTCTTTTGTGAATATCGTCTCATTCCTGTTTCCTTATCTACAGACCCCCTGGATTACCTTTCCCGTGTGAATCTGTGTGTCAAGTGTGAAAAGGACTGCTGTCGTGTATGTGGAGAGTTGGAGAGCGAGTGATTTCCCCCTTGGATTTCACTTCTGTTCAGCTGATTCAGGAGTCCCGCGTTTGAGTCCCCTGCATTGAACCTTAACATAACGATCCAGCCAGAATATGGACTCAGCGGACTCTGCCGCCCAGCAGCGCGTCCTTACGGCCGAGGAGGTTTTGGAACGCCACGAACAAATGCTGCAGCTCATCAATCAGCTTTTGACCGCTCTAACGCAGGCCTTTGCTCAGCGCGTATCCCTGGTAAGGGAGGGGGATGAATGGAAAACTGGCTTCAACACTCACCTTGGTCATTTTGAATATCTTGTCATGCCGTTTGGTCTCACCAATGCCCCAGCTGTTTTTCAGGCCCTGGTAAACGACGTACTGCAGGACTTCATTAACCACTTCGTCTTCGTTTATCTGGATGACATCCTCATTTTCTCTCATTCTGTCTCTGAACACAAACGCCATGTCAGGCAGGTCCTCCAACGCCTCCTGGAAAACCGTCTCTTCGTGAAGGGGGAAAAATGTGAGTTTTATGCTTCCACAGTCTCTTTCCTGGGCTATGTCATTGAACAAGGTAACCTGAAAGTGGACCCCGCCAAAGTTCAGGCTGTGTTAAACTGGCCCACTCCATCCCATCGCAAGCAGCTTCAGAGTTTCTTGGGTTTCGCTAACTTTTATCGCCGTTTCCGCAACTATAGCCAGCTCGCTCTACCCCTGACTCGTCTCACCTCACCTCACCCAAGGTCCCCTTCCACTGGGATGAACCGGCTCGCCAGGCTTTCTCTTGCCTGAAGGAGCGCTTTGCCTCTGCACCCATCCTCATCCAACCTGATCTCAGTCAACCCTTCGTCGTGGAGGTGGACGCAGGAGTGGGGGCAGTGCTCTCCCAGCGACAAGGCGGTAAGCTTCATCCTTGTGGTTACTTCTGATACTTATGATGTGGGGAACTGAGAGCTATTGGCCATCAAGCTGGCCTTAGAAGAGTGGCGTCACTGGTTGGAGGGAGCTGCCCAACCGTTCGTGGTTTGGACAGACCACAAAAACTTGGAATACATCCGGTCCGCGAAACGACTCAATGCCAGTCAAGCTAGGTGGGCTCTGTTTCTCACCAGATTCCAATTCACAATCACCTACAGACCCGGCTCTCGTAATGTCAAACCCGATTCCCTCTTATGCCAATTTCCCAAGTCCGGAGACGCTGCCGAGGACACCCTCATTCTTCCTTCCACGTGTGGTGTCGGGGCCCTAACCTGGGAGATTGAGCCAGCTATTCGAGAGGCCCAACGAACGGAACCGGACCCTGTACGGGTATGGGTCCCCCGGGCCTACTCTTTGTTCCCTCTACTGTCAGATCACGAGTTTTGCATTGGGCTCACACGGCCAAGTTCACCTGCCACCCTGGGGTCCACTGCACCATTACCTTCCTCCAACGCTTCGCCTGGTGGCCGTCTTCAGCTAAGGACGTCCGCAAATACATTGCTGCCCCTCCTACATGCGCTCAAAACAAGAGCGTCAATCAGCCATCTTCCGGCCTTCTCCAACCCCTACCGACCCCTGGCCGCCCGTGGTCACACATTGCAATGGACTTCATCACGGGCCTTCCTTCCTCATCAGGTAACTCAGTCATCCTTACTATCATTGATCGTTTTTCGAAAGCTGCTCACTTTGTCCCCCTCCCCAAGCTCCCCAGTGCTTTAGAAATAGCTCGACTCCTGACTAACCATGTCTTTCGCCTTCACGGAATCCCCACGGACATCGTCTCTGATAGGGGGCCGCAGTTCACATCACGGGTCTGGAAAGCATTCTGCAATGCCCTCGGAGCGCAGGTCAGTCTCTCCTCTGGTTTCCACCCTCAGACTAATGGCCAGACGGAACGGGCCAATCAGGAACTTGAGGCGGACCTCCGGTGCTTGGCATCCACCAATCAGACAACTTGGAGTGAGCAACTCCCATGGGTTGAGTATGCCCACAATAGTGTAACAGGTATTACAATTAAATAATATGAGATACGCATTAAATTATTGTCTTGACAACTTTGGACTAGTATCAGGAAGTTCTAGGTAAGACTATGGAGCCTTGAAAGGATCAGCAGAGAAGGAACCACACAATGATAGATAAGATGTGATTTGAATAGAAACTGTATTGAAAGTTGTAAAGTTTACAAACCCTGCCTGTCTAAAGCCGGCTTCCTACAGTGCACAAACGCACATTAAAGGGCTCAAAAATAAAATCAAAACCAAACATCCTCTTTAAGGAAATTCTCCAAAGAGTTTCAATTAAAGAGCTTCCTCTAAATTAGAGTCCTCTCTCTCTCTCTCTGTGTGTGTGTGTGTGTGTGTGTGTGTGTGTGTGTGTGTGTGTGTGTTTCTGTCCATTGGTTCTAACACTACCCGGGTAGATTTTTAAAGTGTGTTATGTCGTGTGTTGAGTGTGTGTTGTGTGTGTGTGTTTCTGTCCACTGGTTCTAACACTACCCGGGTAGATTTTTAAAGTGTTAGTCTTATCTGTGTCAAGGAATGTAGTTATAGTCCTGAGGTTCGCTGAAGATGGATCCCACGGCTGGCCACACCGTACTCTGGTCCGTCGACAGTCACTCTCTTGGGATTGGCTCGCCACTGAACCCACAGGGTTCAGATCTCAAATGATCCAGTCCTGGTCAAAAACCAATCTATGCACACAGTGCAGAGTGCATACATTACTATTTTATCTATGCTTCTTCCATCACTCATCTTTCAGTCAAGTATTGCTCAAGTATAACAAATTATTTTAGTTATACAATGCCTCAACTATCATGAAATAACTTGAGTTACATCAGGGGCAATTTTAGCCCATTTCTGGGGTGCTTCAGCACCCCCAAAACGAATCAAAGCACCCCCAAAGATTTCTTACTTTTTTTCGACAATATTTGCTTTTTGTGTGACACACTACTAAAAATATAAAAAGCATACATTACTGTACTTGTTTGAGACATAACATTGTAACAACAAAAGTATAGATAACCCCTCCTCCCAAAATGGTTTGTTCCAGCTCGCCTCTCCCCTACTCTGGCTCTAGCGCTCTTGCTGCCAGAGCGATGGTGGCTGAGTCGCAGCGGAGTGGAGGTGTAAGTGCCTGGCTTAAAACAGGACATATTAGCTGCATTTATCCTTCAGTTACTCTTTATATAGTTAGGTAGGAGTCAGACCATGTTTCTTTTTAGCTGAAAAGCATTACACCAGGTAACCTGCAGTGTTAAAAACGTGTTTTCCGACAATGTTTGCTACCCTACAATCCGTCCTGCTCTGTAGTAAATTCAGCGACATTTGACCGTCCTGTTGCTCCCATTGAAATTTATATAGCCTATTTAAAATCTAAAACTTAAAATTGTCCGTAGCCTACTGTTGTTACCACTGTCCTGTTTGAAATGGATACTAAGTAGCTAACTGACTGAATGCCCATTAACCTTATAACTCCTGTTGTGTGTGTGTGTTTGTGTGTTTGTTTATAGAGAGACAGCCAGGTTCATAATGGATATAAGGACGTTTTTTCAAAAAAAGGAGCCACATTCAGGTAAAAGTGTAAGATCAAATGATCCGTCAATCAAGAACAATGTTGGATCAGTGTTTCAATGTTTA